GAGTTGGGGGGGTTCAGCCTGGAGAAGAGAAGGCCAAAAAGGGGAGAGCTCAGAGCCCCTTCCAGTGCCTAAAGGGGCTCCAGGAGAGCTGGGGAGGGACTCTGGATGAGGGAGGGGAGCCGTGGGATGAGGGGTGACAGTTTTACACTGGCAGAGGGGAGGTTTAGATGAGATATCAGGAAGGAATTCTTTACTGTGAAGTTGGTGAAACCCCTGCCCAGGTTGCCCAGAGAGGTGGGAGATGCCCCATCCCTCGAAACATTCCAGGCCAGGTTGGATGGAGCTCTGAGCAACCTGATCTAGCGGAAGATGTCCCTGCCCAGGGCAGGGGGTTGAACTAGATGTCCTTTAAAGGTCCCTTCCAACCTGATTCTGTGTTACGGCACAGACTATCGCAAACACCTCATCTTAGAAGGTAACAACCTCTGCTAAGGAGGATCAGCCTAGGGCTGTGCTCTTCACAACGAGCACTTCAGCCTGTGAAGCAGTCCTCCTTTGCGGGAGTTTATAGCTGATGAATGGGGAAGAACTATGGGTGTACCCCAATCACGCGTCCTGCGGTCCTCACGACAGGCACAAACCTCACCGGCTCCTTCTTTGGCAGCGGGAGGTAGGTGAAAAGTTTCTGCATGAGTAGGCTTGGAAACACCTTCTCGTTTAATTAAACTTCAGAGTTAATTCTGGAATGACTCAACCAATCCTAGGAGGTGCACGTCGCACCCACCCCACAACAAACTTCTCTGCCCACAAGCTCCTGCTCTGAAGCATTCCAGCATCTCCTGCCTGGTGCTGGTCACGCTCAAAGCCCTCAGAGCCCACTCCTGCAGAGCCAGGCACGCAACCCTGAGGATTTACCAAGGTTATAGATTATTTCTTTGATGTAAGAAAATGGATGTTCTTCGAAGATAAAGGTTACCCAGGAAAAAGGATTCTTTGCCCATGGGTTGGAGCAGAGGTTGGTCCATAAACACGCACCAACCCCATCCATAGTGTGACCTCCCAAGCCATTCCTCAACGCTAGGACCACCACCCAAACACGAGGGGGGAGGGCTGGGGTGCCCCGTTTCCTCCCAAAAGAAGACATTTTATTGAATCACTTTGCCTGGCTGCTGGAAAAAAACACGATGGTCCCAATGGAGACAGAGGCTCCACCTCCCACCCAGTCCCCAGGATGAGGGGCAGCATCAGGGATGGGCTGTCACCAGCACTTCCCGGCACCCACTCTGGGCTGCAGATGCTCAGCATCCACCTCTCACCCAAAAAAGGGCCCT